ATGCTTCAAAATATGGTGAAAATCTTAGCAAAACCAAAAGCATTTTCTATATTACCATAGTACTGAATCTTTACTAAATCTATTGTTGTATAGAGTAACCAGCACCAGGACATACACCAGTAGAAAAAACTAACACTGTGGAAAGGAAACATTTTCCAGGTCCATATGAACCTTTATGTCATTACTGAAAGGGATCTAATAGACAATAGATAAACAGAAAGGAATAGAGTCCACACATAGACCCTCACACAGAGGATCACTTAATGTATCACAAAGGTGCCAATGAAATTCAATGTGGAAAGAAAGGGCTTTTCAATAAATGGTGTTGGTTCAAAGGATATTTGCATTTGAAAATTGGATGTTATCAGATTATTCATTAGAAAGCTTATAGTAATTTATAGTCTCACCAAGTGCTCTGTGGTCTATTCATGTAAATGTTCAAAGATATTTGCAAAGAATGGATATTTTGTTTATTGAGCACAAAGTCCTCTATGTGTGTATATAATACATTGTATTCATTATTCAAGCAACAAGAGTTTATTGAATGCCTCCCACATGCTAGGTACTGTTCTAGGCTCCAGGGATTTGGCTGAAGGCAAAGTAACCTACTTTCTCGGAGCTTACAGTCTTGTAGGGGAAGACAGATAATATACGAGACAAAAATAAGATAGTTTCACATGGTTCTAAGTTGTGTGAGTGAGGGAAAAACCGGTCAGTTTAAGGGCATAGAGGGAGACTGGGGTGAGGGCCCTATTTCAGATCGGAGAGTCAAGGAAGGCTTCTCTGCATGTTGAGATGGTCTGAGGGGAAGGCCTGTATACCAGAAGGAAGCTAAGGGAGTATGTGGGAGAAGGTCGGAGGGAGGCCATTGTGGCTGGAGAGTATAGGAGATGCTCAGAGAAGTAGGTAGGCAGGGGCCACTTCATGCTGGCCTTACTGACCACAGCATGATGTTTAGGCTTTATTTCAGTGTAATGGGAAGGCATCAGAGGCTCCTCAGTCCTAGTGTGGCATGATCTGATCTATACTTTTTTTTTTTTTTTTTTTTGAGACGGAGTTTCGCTCTTGTTACCCAGGCTGGAGTGCAATGGCGCGATCTCGGCTCACCGCAACCTCCGCCTCCTGGGTTCAGGCAATTCTCCTGCCTCAGCCTCCTGAGTAGCTGGGATTACAGGCACGCACCACCATGCCCAGCTAATTTTTTGTATTTTTAGTAGAGATGGGGTTTCGCCATGTTGACCAGGATGGTCTCGATCTCTTGATCCACCCGCCTCAGCCTCCCAAAGTGCTGGCATTGCAGGTGTGAGCCACTGCACCTGGCCTGATCTATACTTTTAAGAGATAATGTTGTGCTGAGGGGAAATGAATTGCAAGGGGATGAAAGAAGCAAGAAGACTTTGAGTTGTGGCTAGAGTGACAGTAGCATGGACTAGGTAGCATCTGGGGAAGTGGTGAAATGTGACCAAACTTGGGATGCATCTGGATGATATAACACGATATGCTGATGGTTTGGATGTCAGAGGTGGGGTGGGGCCAAGGGAAAGAGAGGAGTCAAAGGTGACTCCTAGGTTTTAAGCCTAATACCTGGGTCAGTGGTGGCGCTGCCAGCTGAAATAGAGATGATTGGGGAGGAGGAGGGTTGGTGTGGGGGTGCCATGGGAAGAAAAACTTTGGTATGTATTGATGGAAGCAACCCAGTATACATCAATAGATGAATGGATAAACAAAATGTGGTATATCCATACAGTGGAATGTCACTCATCTATGAAAAGGAAGGACATACTGACATGCTACCACATGAATGAACCTTGAAAGCATCATGCTAAGTAACAAAAACCAGACACCAAACACCCCATGTTGTATGATTCCATTTATATGAAATATCCAAAATAGGCAAATCTGTAGAGTTAAAAAGGTCAGGGGTTCAGGTCAGTGAAAGAGTAACTGGGAATGAGTGATTAATAAATATGGAGTTCCCATTTGGGGTGAAGAAAAAGCCCTGCAGCTAGATAGTGGAGCTGGTTGAACAGCACTGCGAATATACAAATGCCATGGAATTGTATACTTTAAAATGGTTACAGTGGTCAATGTTCTGTTCCACGTATTTTACCATGATTAAAAAGAATCTGAGACAACAACCAAAAACTTCAGGATGTATGTAGAGAAGCTGAGAGTTTAGTTTAAGACATGTTAAATTTGAGATGCCTATCAGATATTCAGGTGGATTTGGATAAAGGGAACTGAAGCTCGGGTGAGTTAAGGACTGGAGAAATCAATCTGGGTGTCATCAACATAGGGATGGCACTTAAAGACTGAGGACTAGTGAGGTCCCCTAGGAAGGCAGAGTAGAGAGAGGAGAGGAGAAGGGGGAAGACTGCATCTGGGGCTATCTCAACACTGGGAGGTCACAAACAGGAAGAGGCACCAGCAAAGCAGACTGGCCACATTGGACCCAAAAAGTAGCAGGAGTCAGGAGAGCATGACATCTCCAGAGACTAGTGTCAAATGTGTCCACTGCCACCTGGAGATGGAGTAAGATGAACATAGTTGGATTTTGTGCGATGAAGTTTCCTGCCATCTTTGCAAAGTTGTTCAAGGTGGTTAAATGCACTGCTCAAATATGCTTGATGATTTTTTTGTCTATCAATTTCTGAAATAGATAGTTTCCCCCATCATTATAGATTGATTGATTTTAATTTCTTCTTGTATTTCTAACATCTTTGTTTTCTGAATTGTGAAGTTCTATATTGAGTGAATAAAAGTTCTTGACTCTTGAGTTTTGTTAGCGAATTTTGACTTTTATCATTTGGAAATAGCCTTCTTTTCTGTTAAAACTGTAGGTATCTATTTTGTAAACAGCATACACAGTAGTCCCCAGTTAGCAGAGGGGAATAGTTCCAAGCCCCCCCAGTGGATGCTGAAGCCTTGAGTACTACCAAACCCAATTGCCACTGATTAGAACACCTTTCTTTCCTTGTCTTTCACCCACAAACTTAATGCCACTTCTATCTTAACTAAGCACTTAGCATACACAGTGGCTGAGACTTTTGCAGTTTGAGGTGTACCAGCAAAATTATCATGAATTTCTTTTCTTTTTCTTTCTTCTTAACTCAGGGATAGAAAATTCATTCTTATGTAGATCTTAACAACCTCAGCATATGATTTTTTTTCTTTCCTAAAGTCGAGAACTTTAGCCTTTCCACTTAAGCACTTTACAGCTTCTCTTTGGTATATTCAAATTACCAGCATGATTAATCTTGTAAAATAAGGGTTGCTTGCACACAAGCGCTGTGATACCATGACAGTCAATCTGGTAACCAAGATGGTCAAGTGACTAAGGGATGGCTGGTGTCTCCAGCATGGATAAGCTGGGACAGAGGGGTGGTTCATGCCCCAGATGGGGCTGAGCAGGGCAGTGTGGGATTTCATCATGCTACCTCAGAATGGCTCACAACTGAAAACTTTAAGACTTGTTTATTTCCCAGTTCTCTATTTAATATTTTTGGACCACAGTTGACCACAAGTAACTGAAATTGCAGAATCCCTCCTAATAACGAGACTACTGTAACTGCAGACTCTGTAACCCAAATCAGGACTAAATTTTTAAATAAAGAAGCACAGAACATGCAGCCAATTTTGGATATGTGGGTTCCTCCCCCAACTCTTATCAGTGTTGATCTTATTTAACTTCTAGCTACCAGATATTTCAAAAATGTTCTGATAATGGACACCCTTTCCTATTTTCCAGAGACTCTGGCATTGGTGGGTTTTAATTCGTGGTTTTAATCCAGGCATTTATGGTTTTGAATTCATTCACATTTATTGATAGTAGTATGTTTAAATATATTTCTGTTATCTTGATACGTGCTTCCCTTCCATGTTGCAATTTTTTGCCGTTTCTTATTTCGCCTTTCCTTTTTTGTTAGATTGATCAAGTTTTCTTCGTTCCATGGGTTGGCAGATTTATATATTGTTTTTTTTTTTTTTTTTTTTGAGACTAAGTTTCACTCTGTTGCCCAAGCTGGAGTGCAGTGGCATGATCTTGGCTTACTGCAACCTCCGCTCCTGGGTGCAAGCGGTTCTCCTGCCTCAACCTCCGGAGTAGCTGTGACTATAGGCACACACCACCATGCCTGGCTAATTTTTGTATTTTTAGTAGAGACAGGGTTTCACTATGTTGGCCAGGCTGGTGTCAAACTCCTGACCTCATGATCTACCCTCCTCATCCTCCCAAAGTGCTAGGATTACAGGCATGTGAGCCACCACTCCTGGCATTTTTTTTTTTTTTTTTTTTTTTGACAGAGTCTCACTCTGTTGCCCAGGCTGGATTGCAGTGGTTTGATCTCAGCTCACTGCAACCTCTGCCTCCAGGGTTCAAGCGATTCTGCTGCCTCAGCCTCCCGAGTAGCTGGGATTACAGGCACCCAGCAACATGCCTGGCTAATTTTTGTACTTTTAGTACAGACAGGGTCTCACCACGTTGGTCAGGCTGGTCTCAAACTCCTGACCTCAAGTGATCTGCCCACCTTCACCTCCCAAAGTGCTGGGATTACAGGCATGAGCCACTGCACCCAGCCAGAGTTATGTATTCAATTTCAATTATTTACATGGTTAACTTAAAATGTTTACTCCCATGATTATATATGCTTTCTATGAGTATCTAGAATGAATCTATCTTTATATTGTAGGGGAGGCAAAATTTTACTTCTACCCTCTTGGAGTTTTTGGTTGTCCCTGAAAATGAAATTGACATAGGACTGATTAACAGGAGAAAAGTATATAAATTTCTATAAATTTTATATGTCATGGGGACTCTCATGGAAAAAAACGACCAAAGAAGTGCTAAACCTGCATACTAAAGAGGCAATTATAGAAAAGCAACCGAGTTATGAGGGGAGACTACAGGAAGAGAAGAACTATTTTAACAAAGCCTGTTTGTACAGCATTCTCTTGGCTATGATTCTCTGTTGAAGAATGTTTCTTTTCTCCTGGTACAAGGACATCTTTCACATGGGAGTTTTTATCTCTTGATTCCAGGAAGAAAAAAGGATATGAGAATGTGCATTTTTCATCTGCTATTTTTCAAGTGCCTTTAGCTTAAAAATAATCCTTAGGCCAAAGTGGCATTTTTTGGATGGCGTATTCTGCCACCCTTAAATAGTTTCCTATTAAACAAGAAATTTACACTCTCCAACTTCCTCCTTTCTCCACTGCTATCTCGACAGGGTAAGCAATTTTACCAGATGAGTTTTATTCTTAGTGAAGCATAAGTTTTACTGTTGGTTTTTGTGTGTCTGTGGGGGGACTTATTCTTTTACTTGAGTCCCACATTATATTTTTCTTTGGAGCATTTTTTGTCATTATTGTCTTGTTATAGCACATTTTGTAATGATTTTGGAGATAGTGTGTTTGTGGCAAAGCTTCTGAGTCTTTGTATGTTTAAACGTGTCTTCAGTGTTTTTATTTGATTGTAAGTTTACCTCTGTATAGACTTCCAAGTCAAAAACTGTTTTCCTCTTGGAATTGCGAAGACAATGCTCTGGGGTCTTCAGCAGCCAGGTTTGTTGATGAGAAAGTTGATGCCAATCTGCTTGTCGTTTATTTATGTGGAATTTTTCAGAAGGATTTTCTTGATCTGTGGGTTTCTTAAATGGTACTGGTACTTGCCAGTGGGTTCCTTTCGTTGAAAATTGTACTTTCTTCAGCTCTGAAAAGTTTTATTTAATTTTTCCTTGATGATTTTACCCTCCATTGCTTTTTTAGTTTTGTTTTGGAACTCCTGTTAGATGGATTTAGATGAATTTTCAATCACCTGGATTAATTTCGCATATTGCTTAAGTTCTTTCTTATTTTTATTTTTATTTTTTTTGAGACGGAGTTTCGCTGTTGTTTCCCAGGCTGGAGTGCAATGGCGTGATCTCGGCTCACTGCAACCTCCGCCTCCTGGGTTCAAGCAATTCTCCTGCCTCAGTCTCCTGAGTAGTTGGGACTATAGGCGTGCACCACCGTGCCCAGCTAATTTTTTTTTTTGTATTTGTAGTAGAGATGAGGTTTCACCATGTTGACCAGGATGGTCTTGATCTTTTGACCTCGTGATCCACCCACCTCGGCCTCCCAAAGTGCTGGGATTATAGGCATGAGCCACCGCGCCCAGCCTAGTTCTTTCTTATATCTCCCATTTACTTTGTCCTTTTAATTTCTTTTTTCTTTTTTTTGAGACAGAGTTTCACTCTTGTTACCCAGGCTGGAGTGCAATGGTGTGATCTCCGCTCACTGCAACCTCCACTTCCCGGGTTCAAGCAATTCTCCTACCTCAGTTTCCTAGTAGCTGGGATTAGAAGTGCCTGACACTATGCCTGGCTAATTTTTCCGTACTTTTACAAAATACACCTCGGCCTTTTTTTTTTTTTTTTTTTTTCGTTTTGACAGAGTCTTGCTCCGTCACCCAGGCTGGAGTGCAATGGCATCATCTTGGCTCACTGGAGCCTCTGACTCCCAAATTCAAGAGATTCTTCTGCCTCAGCCCCCTAAGTAGCTGAGATTGCAGGTGCACGCCACCACATTGGGCTAATTTTTGTATTTTTAGTAGAGACAAGGTTTCACTATGTTGGTTAGGCTGGTCTCAAACTCCTGACGTTGTGATCCAACAGCCCTGGCCTCCCAAAGTGCTAGGATTACAGTGTGAGCCACCTGGCCCACTGCCTCGGCCTCTTAAAATGTTGGGATTACAGGTATGAGCCCCCATGCCCAGCCTAATTTCAATTTTGAAAGTTTCTTACCTTTATTTTTCAGAGTACTAATTTTATTTTCCATTTTATAGGTTCTATTGATCTTTCATTCATTCAGCAAATATTTAGTGAGTTCCTTCTGTGTGTCAGGCATTATTTCAAGTGATGGGATTCAGTGGCAAAGTCCTTTGATTGGATTTTTATTTTCCATGAACTACTTATTCTCTGAATGCTCTTGTTGTATATATGTAAAATATTCATGAACTCCTATGTTTTTTAACATAAAGATTTTACTCTGTCTAAGTAGCTGGGACCGCAGGCATGCTCCACCACACCTAGATATTTTTTTTTTTAATTGTAGATATAAAGTCTCACTATATTGTCTAGTCTGGCCTGGAACTCCTGGGCTCAAGTGATCCTCCCACTTCAGCCTCCCAAAGTGCTGGGATTACAGACATAAGCCACATGCCCAGCCTTTCAGTCAACATTCTTGATTACAAGTAACAGATACTGGCTCTGGGTAATTTATGCAAAAATAATTCATTGGCAGGCTTTAGGTAGCTCACAAAATTAACCAGAAGGCTGAGAATCAGGCTTGGAAAACCAGCAGGAACTAAGGAGGCAACAGTCTGGTCAAGTCATTGTTGCCTTGGCTGATATCACCTCAGATGTAGGTCCTGGTGGGAGCAGCTAGTACTCCAGCACCAAACCAGGGTGCAGGTCATCTGCCAGGCAGCCAGTGACCACACGTGGGGCCAGAATAATGGCCCCTAATCCCCGGAACCTGGGAACATGTTTCCTTATGTGGCAAAAGGGACTTTACAGATGAGATTACATTAACGCCTTTAAGACTAAGAGATGATCCTGAATTACCCAGGTGGGCCCACCCACATGATTCCTTAAAAACACAGACTGTTTTCCAGCTGTGGCCAGAGGGAGGGAGGACTGTGAAAGAAGGGTCAGAGAGAGGTGCGGCACTGTCAGCTTGGAAGGTAGAGGAAGAGGGCTGTGAGCACAGAAACGTGGGTGGACACTAGTAGCCAAAAAAGCCTTCCCTGGATTCTCCAGGAAGGAATGTGCCCTGCGGCCACCTTGAATGTAGCCCTGAGGGACCTATGTCAGACTTCTGACCTACAGAACAATAAAATAGTAAATCTGTAGTGGTTTAAGCCACCAAGTTTGTGGTAATTTGTTATGGCGGTGATAGAAAACCAATACACCACCTGGGAAGATGAGCAGGACTTCCCGGCCACGATGCTGAAGTAAGGCAGGTTTCACACTGGTGGCGGACCCTGAGCATCTTTTTCTTGCGCTGCTGCTTGGCCTCCTCCTAACACTTCCTCCTGCGCAAGCGTCTCCCGTGTCCCACTCCCCAGGCCAGACACTACTGATGTTTTCTTTCGGCCAGTTTAGGGGCGGGGCAGGGGGAAGGCCATGGGCCCTATGTTCTGGCTGCAGCTGTTTTTTCTGGGTAGGGGGACGGAGTCTCTCTCCGTCGCCCAGGCTGGAGTGTAGTGGCATGATCTCGGCTCACTGCAGCCCCTGCCTCCCGGGTTTCGCCATGTTGGTCAGGCTGGTTTTGAACTCCTAACCTTGTGATCTGCCCATCTTGGCCTCTCAAAGTGCTGTGATTACAAGAGTGAGACACCGGGGCGCCTGGCCAGCTATAGCTCTTTATTAAATTATACTGTTGGTCGGCCCAGAGTCTTCTGGATTCTTGATTACTGTAAATGTCCTGAGTTTGGAATCTCTCTGGATTTGTAATAATTAAAATAATTATTAATATTAAATTTGTAAAACTTAAAATAATTTTCCATTATTTTAATTAGTTATTTGGTTCCTTTCTTGCAGCCAAGTTTGTTCCCCCCTCCCAAAACCCCTGGGAACCAGAACATGCCGCCAGTTTTGGATATGTAGTTTTTTTTTCCCCCTACTCTTGTCAATGTTGATTTTATTTAACTCCTATCTACCAGATATTTCAAAAATGTTCTGATAATGGGCACACTTTCCTATTTTCCAGTGCTGTGTGGATCTCATTGTTAAAAGCAATAAACTCCCCCTTGTTACTGTAAAAAAACAATGGATGGAAGGGGATAGAATCTAATGAGCTCAGCTCACCATCTTAAGCCAATTGCTGCTCATTATTTAGACTGGTTGTTCTGTACCTGGGCTCAGGCAGAATGCAAAGGACTGGAACATTCTCAGAAGAGTGGGCCATGTGATCCTGGTGCAACAGCAGGCGTTGGGAGACAAGTAGATTGATGGTGGGTTAGCGCAGGGCAGTCCAGGAGGAAGCAGAGGTTGGGAGGGTCTGGGTTGGCATCAAAGAAGCCCTTTAACAGAAAAAGAAAAGACAGACCTCATTTCAAATCCTGATTTTGTGCCTTACCAACTATGTAAACGAAGGCGAATTTAGTCTCTGAGCTTCCATTTCTTCACTTGCAAAATGGGGATAACACCCATCAGTCAGAGCAAAGTTGCAAGGATTAAGGCGGTAATACTGATGAAGTTCTTACTCTAGGCTTGGCATGTAATACTATTGGCTATTTCCTGAGTAAATTTACATGGGTTAATCTGGTATAATCCTGATTATGAAGCCTATTACACAGATCAGGAAACTGAGGAATAGAGAATTTACGTAAGCTGCTTAAGGTTATAACCATTAAGTGGCAGAGCAGGGATTTGAACCTAGGCAGCCCGGCTCTGTCATCTCTGCATATAAACACTGTGCCACAGAGCTCCACGTGGGTAGAACTATTGGACTGAATGCCCTTCTCTAGCTTTTTAAATTTCCTGTGGAGTTTTGGGGGTAGGGAGCCAGATTCATTTTATGAATTGGGATGGGATTCAGTCAGCAGGTTGGAATAAGTGGCCGCAGTAATAGGCAAGCTGCAGCTAGCAAGTCATTATAGGTTATTGTGTCTGTGTCTGTTTATTGGCTTATTTGCTTTTATGATGTGTTTATTTTTGTGGCAGTAACATTCACATAACAGTAACTGCACAAATATTAAGTATGCAACTCAAAAAATTTTTATATATGTATACACCTGTGTAATCACCATATAGATCAAGAAATAGAGAGTTTCCAGTCTCACTGAAGACTCAGCCAAAGGTAACTAACTCTATGACTACAGGCAAGTGTAGTGTGGTTTTGAATTTCATATAAATGGAACACACAGTTTGTGTTCTTTCATGTTTGGGTTCTTTTAATTGTCCTGTTTATTATTTTCATAAAAAACAAGATGCATTAAAGGCTAGGAACTGGTGAGCATATGGCTGCCAGGAGCAGGTAGCTGAGATCTCCAAGGGCTCTGGACACAGAAACAAATCTTGGTGCAGCCAGCAGTGGGGGATGGGAATGAGGAGGAAAACCAGACTGGGTAGGGCTGCCACCTGCTCTGACATGCCAGAGGGCTCTCAGGGGAAAGCGTTCTTGGAGCCTTACAGGTGTGCAGTGAATGCCAGTTCCTTCTCTCTTGCTGCGTGGTTCCTTGTGAG